AGCTATGCCATCAAGCATAGCACTTCTCGCAGTGAAGTTTGCAAAGCAGATAGTCGAAAGAGAGCTCATATGTGGATCTGCTCTTCTAGCTCAGGAATGCTTTCTTTCATTCATCCCCAGTCAACACGACTGTTCAAGCGGACGTCGCGGACTTGGGAAGAACCCGAAGGCGTATGCGTCGAACATGCATGCACTTGTTGACGTGGCCCCATTGCACCTGATATGGTTGAAATAAAAGGAGCGTATTCATCGCACAACATGCATAACTAACAACACAATTTCAGACTATTGCGCGGAAACCACTAAGAACTCATGACCTAGTCAAAAACCCACACTCCATCAGATGCTCCATACTTCTCTGAACGGCCAACCTCGCATCCGCGTTATCGTCATCCGTTACACGACCATCCTTCGGTGGCTCAGTACCCATGAATCCCTCAGATGTGACCATCCAATCCTTCAGAGGAAAGAGGGGATGTTCTCTGCCGTCTGCCTCCATTCTCGTGTTCATCGCCGCCAGCCAATCGCCGTGTGCTGTGGGGTTGAGCTCGGGGCCAAACTCCTTCAGCATCTCCCAGATATCCTGGAGATAGCAGCCAGCCAGCACCTTGTGACACACTTCCTTCGTCTTGTCGCCGTGCCTGACAGGCAGCTCGGCCACCAGGTTCGACGCAATCGCGTCCACGCCGGCAACGGGAATCCACTTACGGGCATCCTCCTCACTGTACGTCCCAATCTGGGCGCACGCCTTGACGAAGCGCCACAACGCGTCGCGTGTCTGCGTCTCCCCATCGGTGGACGACCCGATGATGAATCCCGGCTTGAAGACCCAGGCTTGCCCACCGCTGTCTCGTGCCAGTGACGCGTTGAAATGTTCCACCATCGTCTCCGACACGAACTTCGTCTGGTCGTAGCCCGGCATCTGGTAAATCTTGGACGCCAGCTCGTCGACCGTCTCCTCCTGTCCGGAAATGTACCCGCCAGACACGAACACGAGACCCGGCGCGTCGTGCGACTGCAGCTGACCCCTGAGCAGCTCGTAGGTGCTCCCGACGTTGGGGTCCGTCAGCGCCTCGTAGGAGGCGAGCCAGTTGACGACGGCGCCGTTGTGGATAATGGTGTGCACCCTGCGCGTGCTGCCGTGGAGGCCGAAAACCTCGCGCCACTCGGCTTGCCGGAGGCCGAGCTTCGGCAGCGAAAGGTCGCCGGGCCAGACCTCAATGCGCGGCTCGAAATCGGCAGTCCACCACTTCTCCTTGCGCACCACCGACAGCAGACGCTGTCGGGCATGCTCGGGGGAGTCGCCGCGCACGACGCAGACGACGTTCCACTGCTCGGGATGGGATAGGAGCTGGCGGAGAATTTCACGGCCGAGGAAGCCGCTCGCGCCTGTGAGGAGGACGGCCCGACCGGCGGTGTTGCTCGCCTCGTCGAGCTTGATCGTCCACTTGACGAGTTCCTCCTGGAGACTTGCCTTTGGATCTACATCTTTCTCAGGGGCACTGGAAAGAGCTGCGATGTCGCTGATTTTGATGCCTGGTCTCAGCAACATGGACGCTGGCACATGGAGCTGCGCGACTCTTCTGAGGCCGGACGATACCTCGACGGCGTCGAGAGAGTCGAGGCCCGATTCGTTCAGCGTCATGTCTTGGCCTACGGAACCTTCAGTTTTGGACTTGATGAAGTCTACGATTCTCTGCACCATGGCCTGAGCATCGGAGACGTTGGCATTTGAGCTCGCACGGCCGTTTTGCAGCTTGGGTGCGTCGGCTTGTTTCTTGGAGTCCAAAAACGCAAGTCCCAGCTTCTGGAGTTCCAGCCTGTTGATCTTCTTGGAAACAGTCAGAGGAAACTTTGTCAAGGGCACAGTGACGGTGGGTATCATGCTCCTGGGTAGCACAGCCCGCACCTCGTCATAGGCCTTGCGGATCCCGGCTTGATGCGTCGTCAGTGTGCTGAGGGCGGGGTCGGCATCTTCTTCGTAGGAGACAAAGGCTGCCAGCTTTGCCTTTCCGTTTCCCGGCTGGAGCAATTCAACATACACACGTAAATTGCCTGGCAGGAAACGCATCAGGCTTTCTTCGATCTCCGCAGGCTCCATCCGTTGTCCGTTCAGCTTGATTTGACGATCGATGCGGCCCCAGATCTCGAGGTTTCCATCCTTGAGGACTCTGCCGAGATCTCCTGTTCGATAGATACGGTGACTGGCGTCATCCATATCTCCTTTCGGTAGCCAGCTCGGGGCGGACTTGAAGACGCGAGCTGTCTGCTCGGGTCGGCCGACGTAATAGTCCCCAATCTCCGGGCCTTGGATGCAAATCTCGCCAGCAACACCGAGAGGCGACAACATGGTCCAGTCGTTGGGATGGACGACCCAGGCCCGGCTGCCAATGGACTTGCCGATGAGGCGAGAATTGTCGCAATTTTGAGCCGTGACTCGAGCGATCGTGTCCCAGACAGCAGTCTCCGTAGTGCCGTACAGGATGTTGAGCTCGAGCTGGGATGACCACAGTTTACGAAGCTCCGACGAAGCCCGCTCGCCACCGAGGGAAAGATTTCGCAAGCTTGGTACCTCTTTCGGCGTAAACGTTCTCACAACTGTTGGCGTCATGATAACATGGGTTGCTCGCATTGAACGAATGTTCTTTGCGACGCTCGCGACTTTGTCTTCAGGGTTGGGGATGACGATGCACCCTCCCACGCAAAGCGGCGTGAAAATTTCACTTATGCTGACGTCGAAGGAGTGTGATGCGAATTGAAGAAACCTTGACGTCTCATCCAGATGAAGTGCCTCGGCCACACGAACAAGGCTGGTGGTAACAGCCACATGAGACTGGAGGGCACCCTTGGGCTCGCCAGTCGATCCGGACGTATGCATGATCATGGAGGCGCGGGTACCAGGGGAGCTATCTTGCCAGGCTCCGTAATAGGTATCTGACGAGACTTTTTTGTTGTTGATCTCATCAGGCGTCATGACGTGACGAACCAGACCGGCTAGTGACTTTGCTTGAGCGGCACCGCAGATCGCGCCGGTACATCCTGTGTTTCGAACGATGGATTTGATACGCTCCTCAGGGGCAGATGTATCGATGGGAACGCAGGCGCAACCAGCCTTAAGGAGCGCCAACCAGGCGACAATGGCCCAGCGCGAGTGGTCGAAAACATGAAGGACCCTCTGCTCGCTGAAAGAGGCCTCAGAGGCGAGCGTGCTAGCCCATCGCGAGGAGACGACATCCAGCTCATGATATGTGAGAGAGCCATCCCATGCATCAACAGCGAGCTTTGAAGGCCATTGAACGCAAGCCGCATGGAAAAGCTCGTTGATGGTTTGTTCCGTGCAAACAGGAGGTGGAGGGTTAAGACTGGCGAGCCGTAACTGACCAGACGCAGGACTTTGCATCGAACTAATCGGAGCGTCGTAGTGGGAGGAAACATGAGATGCTACTCGTTCAATTATCGAAACGATTTCGTCTCGGTCTTGCAAGCCATCTGCCCATTGTACGCGCAGTGTCATGAGGCTTTTGTCACGGCAGAGGTGCACGCAAGACTGCTGGTTCTGAAAAGTGATAATGTCAGCAAATTACACAGAGAACAACCTGACTGGGGGCTTTACTGACCTGTTGCAGCTCATATGAACTTATTTCCGCGAAGTTGTTTGTAAAGACAAATGTGTGTACACCATCCTCAGAGTTTGACTGGCATTCGTTTGTGAGACAGTTGTCCCCTTGGCCAGCGCTGGGCCGGAGCGCCTGGCTGATATCTTTTGGGGTGGCACATGGCTCAAGTGTCATCCTAATATTCCGACGCGAGCCTACAGAGATAAGATCTGATGTGATGTTGTTGCATAGTTCAAGTTCAAGAGCGACCTCGCTCTTCCCCGTCATGTGGTAAAGTGACAGTATCCATATCACAATTCCTTTGGTGTCTGTGTCGCTGGAATCGTGAGGCTCGAACTTGAGCTCAATATCAAAAAATTGAGAGTTTCGGCCACCAGCCGCCTGCCGAGCATTGCAACCCTCTGAGGTTGGCGATGCTACATGTGGCTTGGCGCCAGGATGAAGAACCACGGTGTCACCGCTGTTGATAAGACGTCTGACCATGTTGATAATATTGATGCAATGATGAACTCGGTGGTAAGAAGTGTGTATCTGGTGGTTGGGAAGGTAATCATGGAAGCATTCAGCAGATGATGGAAGTTGGCAGGGAAAGGTGTAGGGATTTTATAGACGCCGCCTCGATCATTGGCCTTGGCTGATACACGATCTTGCCACGAAAGACATTCTGTACATCAACTTTTATCCTCATAATCGGCTTTCCATCCAAGGACATTCTCATTGGTTCATGCTGAGTGAGATCAGGGTTCGAGACAGACTCACCGCCTATGGAACGAGGGTTGCCCTCGGCACCCTGGCGTTCTTTGCCCTGGAGACCTCGAACACCGGAATCATGGGTCCATTCGGAACTTTTGCATCCGGCAGGATATCGGCATTTAGATCAAAGGAACGTCGGTGGATCATAATGATTCAGAATAACAGAAGCCCGTAAGTCCATATGGTCAGAAGCGTCTACCCCGCCAGTGTTCATTGGTATTGGATGACATTGATCACCGAGTTCACTCAAGGCGAGCATGAATCTACTCACACATGAGACATGAACTTGCCACCCTCAACATTATGTCGGTATTGGCAGGTGTGGCTCGATACATGCTCTAGCCAGTGAAATCTTCCTCGCAGGAAAGACACATGCCTAGCTGGATTACGTGTCGTCCGGGAATCTATCGAAAGAGAATCATATTGTCGATCACTCTTTCCTGTTCCTCATCACGCCGTATGGTGGCGTCGAAGGTTGACTACAACAGCGTCTTCATTGTTGAGGATTATGGCAACCCTGCACGAGAGCAAGAAACTGATAAATGCCCGAGCGTCAGCAGTGATCATGTCGTGGCTTAGGTTCCCGATCCATTGTGGTCTCAATACCGTTTCGTTTCTCAAGATTTGATCATGGGGTCTCTCGCCGATATTCGTCCTTCAGCATCGCTTGACGTGCTTCCATACGGAAGATTGGGGCACGAGATTGCACCAGATACTGCTGCCTCCAACATCAGACGATTACTGAAGCCCGATACGAAGCCTCATCATAACCTTGGAAGGTAAGTGCCGCCCTTTGGGCGCATGACAAACCCGCCATGTCTAGTTTATGTTATCTTTACTTATCCGTTTAGTTTTGTCACGACTGCGCTCGATATCCACGGCGAACAGTTGCTGCTGGAAAACTACGCCAAGAACCTGGCTTGTCGTCACGAGTACCCTGGCATCGACGAGTAGGCATTGCACGCTGGCACTCCCCTTGGCATGGCTGACCTGACGCCAAGATTGCATTCCCGGTGCGTCTCCATTCTGGGCGACTTATGGGGCGTCTCAGCCGCGGGCGCTCCCGTGGGATCTGCAGTGTCCGGCAGTTCAGAAGCCATCTTTCTCGGCATCCTTGCCATGAAGAAGAGGTGGATGGCCGGTCGTACAGATCGAGACACCCCGCGCGAGCCCAACATCATCGTTGGGAGCCACGCACACGTGGCCGTCCCCAACGGCGCTTCCGCCTGCGACGTTCAAGTCAGATCGCTTCAGGTAAGCGCATCGAGCAACTTTGTGGTAGATCCCTTCCAGCTGGAGGCGCTGATCGATGACGGCACAAGTGAGTCTGAGTGGCCCTAGTGGCCCTTGATCAACTCGTCATAGGCTGACGTGATCCAGTCGGTATTGTGCTCATCATGGGGAGCACATACACCGGTCATTTCGATCCCGTCAAGGATGTTGGCGTCATGCTCGACAAGCACGAGGCCTCGACGGGCCGCAACATCATGATCCACGTCGACGCAGCTAGCGGGGGCTTTGTGGCACCGTTTCTCGGAAAGAACGGGAGCTGCACACAATGGTAAGACAACAGCGCTGTGCCCTGAAAGACTGAGGTTGATTTCGGTGCAGGGACTTTTCCAATTCGCGTGTTGCCTCGATCAACGCTTCCGGACACAAGTTCGGGCTGGCTACAGCGTCCGTTGGCTGGGTCCTGTGGCGTGACCGGGCGTGTCTCCCTGACAGCATGGTACACAGCTCTGACTACCTGATGGGGCAAAACGAATCGGTCACGTTGAGTTACTCCCAGCCAGCCCACGGCGTGGTGCTGCAGTATTATCATTTGGCCCGGCTGGGTCGCCTCGGCTACGAGAGGATCATGGAGGAAGCTTTCCAGCGCGCTGTCGACCTGGGTCGTCTCCTCGAGAAAACGGGGTTATTCGAATGCGTCGACGGCGTGTACCGGGGCCCTCTAGAATCGGTGGCCAACAAGAGTCAGCAAGGAGCAACAGCGGCAAGCCGCAGCAGCGGTCTGCCCCTGGTAGTTTTCCGACTTCGACCAGGCGTTCAACGTCAATTTTCGGGACTCGACGAGCAATGGATAAGCCATGGCTTGATGCAGCGGGGTTTCAGTGTTCCTTGTAAGTTTGTAGTGTCCAGCCGCGAACGATGTGCAGACTAATGAACATTCAAATTCAAGGCTGCAAGCTACCTATCGGAGGCATGGAGGTCTCGGTTCTGCGGATAGTGTTGCGGGCTGGAGTCTCAGATGAGGTCTGCCAGCGTTTTGTGGCCGCTTTGAAGAGCCTCCTGGCTGTAGCAGAAGGTCGTTAGGTGGTGAAATGCCAGGGCTGGCGAGATACACGCATGCCAGGCCACGTAGATTAGATGACGCCACTCATTTGAGTGACAAAACACAATGTATTGGAGCAGGATGAACTTCTCAGTCATTTGTCGCTCGTGTCTCGTCATATGGCAAGTTACTTTCGCTTCACCCCACAACTCCAGTGCCGCATGTCATAGCACTTGGCACCTAACTGCGATACCCTGAATATCTATTCGAACATTAAAAAGGTTTGGGAGAGACACCAGGGACGCCTCGGTCCGGGTACTAACCCGCACGTGTTTGAGCAGTAGTCATGTGTTCCAAGACTTGCGTCGATCTTTGGTTGAGGCGTTGAGTCACTGTCTCGGCCGCAGCAGCAGGACAACCCCCAGTATCGGCACAAGCCAATATGGAGTGCCGTACTTGGAGAACCTCCGGATGGGGATACATGGCCAGACAGTCGAAATGGAAAGACCTTGTGCAAAACTCTGGTCGAATCACGATGCACGCCCGCGTCGACCGGACACAGGCCGAGCCTGCAGCATGGAAAAGGAACCAGTGGGACAAGCCGCTCTGTCATTGTCGCCTGAACAACGGGAATCGAGATGTCAAGACACTGAATGTGTGAGGCGGATCTTGTCTAGCGCGTGCGTTCCTTCGCGTCTGCATGGGATCGAGAGATTGGAACAATATTGAGCGCTCCCGGCAGGCTCCCCGTCAAGCGTTTCTTCAGAGTCTGAATTTGGGCCTAGTCACACGCCATCTGCGGCTCGGCCCTTCTCGGATCGGCGCGTCTTGGTGACATCTTGAGTGACGACCTGTAGCGCTCTGGGGAGGGGTGGACGGTGGGATCGAATAGCTTTCCAGTAAATCTCTGCTGTGGCAAGGAGCATAACACCATTCGTCCATACTTGATGCTTCCAGGAGTGTTCCGGCAAGGAGGCCTGCTCTTGTCAAATCGCGTTACACAAGCGAGGCCGTTGTTGCGTTACACAAGCCGGGCTTGAGCTAAAACACGACTCTTCCCTAGGAGGCTTCCATACGGCTTGCAAGCTCATGTGTAACGCGAAAACAGGGGGGTTGTGACCCCTACAGGCACAATAGGCAACAGCATGTTTGCTCCCGCTCCACCACCTTGGAATCGGAATTCGGGGCACTGAGACGTTTTTCTTGGACATGAAACGCGCCCAAGCCGGACATGAAGCTTTCCGCATGTCTGACCAGTCGAACACTGTGAGGATTCTGCCTTCCAGATGTTTCAGTGCGGCAAAAGAAAGCCCCATCTCAGCAAAAAGTGACTTGCGGCAAAAGCTGTGGCGCAGTACAATTAGGTGGTGCCTTGACTCGAGACAGCTGCTCTATGCAACTTCAATTGAGGTGTGTCTACATGGTCCCAAGGCCGATAGGTTTTGCGAGTGAAACAATTGTCGAGCCAAGTTCGAAGATCTATACAATGAACAGTGGTCATCCAGGTGCTGAGGCGTGTCTACATTGTGAACAAACTTTTGTAAATAGTTCTATTGGTTGATCAAGACGCCTTTTCAACCAATCATGGGCGGTATTATTACAACCAATCACAACGACATGAAGCAGCGAAACTTACGCATCTCACGACTTCATCTCGTTGTTCCAGATCAGAGAGCAACCATCTGCCGCATACCGCCACACGCCTCAGCACGTCTCGACGCGGGTAGAATCAACATTGAGGAGACGCCAGCCATGGCCTTCCCGAGAACTAGCACAATGTCGTCACATTGCTGGTCTAGGCTTGGGACGAACCGCATCGGCAGTGTCGTCCTACCGATGGCATCACGTCACAGAGCAGCCTCCACCAAATCGTCTTCGCATGCGTCGTCGCCTGCGTCACCACCATCACCGTCAACATGCCCCCCCAAACCATGTTCCAAGGCAACACCATCGCCGACGTCACTGGAATTCTGGTCGTCCCCTTCGACATGGCGCAGGGCGGGCCTCAACACGACGCGCTGTCTCGTCGGCTGCACCTTTGGCGACTTCTCCGCCATGTGGTTCCTCCAGTCCTTCCACCCCGAGCTCGGCACCGGCGCCATCATGGCCATTGCGAGTATGCCCTTGACATCCGCTCTCTGCGGCCCCCTCAGAAGTGACGAAACAACTGCTGACTGACCCCCCCCCTCGTTCCCCAGTGGCCAGCGGCCTCGCCTCGTCCATGACCCTTGAGACTGTCCTCCTGCGCCTCGGCCGCGACAGGCTCTCCTGGGGCGTCGCCGCCCGGACCGCCGCCGGCATGAGTCTCCTCTCCATGCTGACCATGGAGGCGGCCTCCAACGCCGTCGACTTCCACCTGACGGGCGGCCAGGTCCGCTTTGATGACCCTGCCTTTTGGGTTGCCGCCGTCGTCGCCATGGGCGCCGGCTTCCTCGCGCCGCTGCCCTACAACTACCTGCGCCTGCGCAAGTACGGCAAGGCCTGCCACTGAGGGCGAGGCCTGCCACGGGCTGTGACTATCATCACGTGTACACTAGTTATTTCAACGCATACATCACATGGGGCGTGCGTTTGGGATTCATAGAATGCTCCTCTCTATTCTAGATGGTCTACGTCTCGCAAGGGTATTGTTTCTGCCTTGTCCACGTTGCTCCTGGCAAGGGGACTATTTCTGCTTCGTCCGCGTTGCTCCTGACAGGCCTGAAAATCAAGCCTGCTCCGACTTCTCCTCTCCCTCCCGGCCCCTTCCGGCTCCGACACGCGCCTTCACAGCCGCCACACGCTCCGACACGGCCCCGAGCCCAAAGGTCCACCCCCTGACCCGGACGGCGTACACAAACAGGTACACGAGCGCCCAGTTGGCCACGGCAAACGCCACCATGATGCCGAAGGCAGGCCACTTGTCGCCCGCCCGCACGTTGAGGCTGGCCATGTACTCGCCGCCGTCGTTGTACGGGCAGAAGCCGCAGTCGGACGTCGCCGACGGGTCCTCGAGGTAGCCGGCGCCGGCGACGGTCGCGACGAAGCCGCTGGCGTACGCGCCGCACGTGGCGCCCGGCGGGGGGTCGAAGCGGGCGAGCTCGGCGGGGGCACAGCGGACGGCGACGGCGGGGAGGACGGCCGAGAGGACGCCGCGCGCGAACCAGGTCGACGGGTTGACGTAGTACATCCAGTACTTCCAAAAGGCGGGCATGGCAGAGTACGGTGTGAAGATGCCGTTGAAGAGGGCGATCATGACAAAGAAGAAGGGGAGGATCTGGGACGTTCGTTAGCGATATGTTGCGAGGGATGTACTCGACATCTTGTGAAAGACAAGCAAACGGAAAGAAGGTAAAAAAAAAAAGAAGAAGAAAAAAAAAAAAAAAAAAAGACTTACATTGGAGATCATACCGTAGGTCGGCCCAAAAGCGGCAATCCACTGTCCCCAGCTCGTCTGGAAAAAGGACCACATGATGGTCATGAGATAGACATAGCCCGACGTAGAGGCCTCGGCCGAAAAGCCGACAGGCAGGTACCACAGCAGCCAGTACAGCGTGCCCGAGACGACGGCCATGGGCAGCTCGCAGACGACATTGGCCGTGCAAAAGGCGACCCAGCCGTACGTGGCGCTCGGCAGCTCGCGGTCCTCCCAGAGCTCGCGGTGGCGGAAGAAGTTGACGACGACCGAGTTGACGACGGCCGGCGGCAGGAAAAACGCAAAGATGATGGCCGTGAACATGCGGTTCTGCAGCGACGCCACGTCGTTGCCCTGCTGCCAAAAGGTGAAGCCGTTGAGGATGCCCATGACGACGTGCACGAACAGCCGGCCGTAGACGTACGACGGCTCGCGCCACTGCTTGATAAAGGTGCGCTGGATGAGGAGTCGGCACTGTTCGAGCGTAGAGGCGGCGAACTGCGCGTCTGCTTCCGTCGAGGGTGCCTCGTGCCGCCTCTCGGCCGTCACGCGGTCGATGTAGTCAATCACGCCGCGGTTCTCCTCTGACACGAGCCACTCGGCGTCCCAGTTAACACGAACGCCCTCGGCATTCGTCGAAGGCCGGGATGCCGTCTCCAGGATGAACTCGGCGACATTGCGGCTCGGTGGGCAGGGAAACCCGCGGCGGGCAAAGTAGTCAATCACAACAGACCCGTTTTCGCCCACAGGACCAAAGTAGAACGTGTTGCCACCGCGGTTGAGCGCGAGGATCATGTCAAACTGCTCGATGAGGTCAGACGACGGCTGGTGGATGGTGCAGATGATAGCCTGACCAGCGTCGGCCAGGCGGCGCAGGAAGCGGACGATGGAAAAGGCAGACTGGCTGTCGAGGCCGCTCGTGGGCTCATCGAGGAACAGCAGGAGACTGGGACGGGCGGCGAGCTCGACGCCAATGGTCACGCGCTTGCGCTGCTCGACAGTCAGGGACGAGATGAGCGCGTGCGAGAGGCCGTCGAGCTCGAGCAGCCGCACAATGCGATCGACATAGGCAAGCTTTTCGGCCTTGGGAATGTGCTTCTCCTGTCGCAGCAGCGCCGAGAAGTCGAGCGCCTCGCGGACCGTCGAAGACCCCTCGTGAATGTCGCGCTGCTCGCAGAATCCGGTGCCGCGCTTAAAGGCAGCGCCCGGGACGACGCCGTTGACGAGAATGTCACCCGACACGACTCCAATGCGCTGGCGCTGTGCGAGCGTGTTGAGGAGCGTCGTCTTGCCGGCGCCGGACGACCCCATGAGGGCCACCATCTTTCCAGGCGCCGCGTATCCGTTGACGCCGTTGAGAAGCCGGCGGTGGCCGGTGCCGTAGGGGACCGTGTACCGAATGTCCTTGAATGTGAAGACGCTCGTGCCGTCGCCAATCTTGTCGAGGGTCTCATCCGCCTTTTGCTGCTCGGCCGATGTCTCTTCCTTGGTCTCGGATGGCTTGGCAAAGACGAGCGAGTGCGCGCTGGAGCCGGTGAAGCGGACCTTTTCGACAGCCCAGACGTTGACGAGGAGGAAGAAGGCGGTGAAAGCGAGCATGATGCCAAAGTTGCGCCACAAATTGGAACGGGAGCTGATCTATTAGTTTCTACCCTAACACCGGGTTGAGAGGGGGTGAACCAAGGGCCACGGTACTCACAAGTCAAAGGACGTCTGAAGGTAGGCCTCGCCAGACACGGTCGAACTGCCAAAGGTCGACCCGGGCAGGGTGCATCCCTGGTAGTCGGCGTCGGCGCCAGGCCCCCTCGGCACGAGGTTGCTCTCGCTGCACCGCAGCTCACGGCCACCAAACTCGTTGCCCAGCAGGGCCTCGTAGCCGTAGGCCACAGGGTTGACGTACGAGAACCAGCCGAACCAGGGCGAGTCGCTCATGAGGGTCGACCGGGGGATGACATAGCCCGTGAGGATAAACATGATGTTGAGGACTGCACATTAGTATCCGAACACCACACACAAAAGAGGCAAAGGGGCGCAACTCACAAACACTGACGAAGCGAATGGCATCATCAACCGTCGACGAGAGAGCGGCAAACATGCGGTACATGGTGGTCAGGCACAGCGTCGCCACATAGACGAGCAGCATGTAAATGAAGAACTTGCCCGCCTCGACGTCAAACTTGGCCAGGAAGTAAAACGGCAGGCTGAAGACGACGACCATGACGAAGATGAGCGGCAGATCGAGCACGGCGCGCGCCAGCACGACAGCCGACGGCCTGTACAGCGCAAACTGCCTCTGCCTCTCAATGGTGGCGCGGCCCATGATGGCGGGCGCCAGCACGGCAAACTCGAGCCAGCCGATGAAGGCGACGGAGAAGAACATGGCGCTCGACATGGAGAACGCCGCCGACGTGGCGCCGGACTCGCTCTCGTAAAAGAGCGACCCGACGATGAGGGCGTTGACGACAATGATGGCGAGCTTGGTGTAGAAGGTGCCGAGGTCGCCCCAGAAGAGCCACGCCTGCCGGCGCGTCGCGGCGGCGATCTGGCGCGGCACCGACACGGTGTAGGGGGACTCGTTCTTGACGTGCTTGCTCTTGGCGCCCTGGACGGCGTCCTCGAACCTCTTGTGCTTTTCGTCGGGGTCCGACGCGGCGCGGTGCTCGCGGTCGTAGAGGTCGACGTCTTCGAGGAGGCGCTGGTAGTGCTCGCTCGCGCGGAACGCGGCTTCGAGCGCCTCGGGGGTCTTGGGCGCCGTGGCCTCGCGGCCCTCCTGAAAGTGCCGAGCGTTGCGGTCGGCGATGGACGTGAGAAAGTCGGCCGTCGTCTGGCGCGGCGGGCGCCAGTAGCCGAGACCCTCAAAGTAGGCCTGGGCCTCGTCGGCGCGGCCGTGGAACAGCATGCGGCCCTCGTCGATGACGAGCACCTTGTCCATGAGCTCGTAGATGGACTCGCCGGCCTGGTACAAGGTGACCAGAGTCGTGCGACCGCCCACGTCGGTGTAGACGCGCAAGGACTTGGCAAAGCTTAGCGCCGTGCTGGCATCGAGGCCCCTCGTCGAGTTGTCCCAGCACACGACCGAAGCTCTCGTGGCGAGCGTCTCGGCCAGGGACACACGCTTGCGTTCGCCCCCCGAGACGCCTCGGACGTGCTCGTCTCCCACGAGCGTGTCACGCGTGTGGTCAATGCCAAACATGGCGAGAAAGGCGTCGAGAACGACGGGAATGGTCCACGCAGCCCGCCGCCTCGTCTTGGTGGCGAGAGCAAACCAGAGCGTCTGCCAGACCGTGAGAGTAGGAAAGTGTCGGTCGTCCTCCTCGCAGTAGACAACCTCGCCCCTGAAGCGTGCCTCCTGTTCGGCGGCCGGGAGGGGTCCATAGTACACCTCGCCGTCGACGGCCGAGTATTCAGCCCGATGGTTGGCGAGCGTTTTGAGCAGCGTCGAACAGCCCGAGCCAGGACGCCCGAGTACGAGGAGAATCTCGCCAGGCCGGACAGCACCCGTCATGTCATGGATAAGGGGCACCGTCTCCAAATCCGATGCCTTGCCGGGCTTGATAGATGACGGCAGGTGCGTGCTGATCAAGGACCACAGGTCGGGCCCAAATGTGTTGAGGATGGCGCGAGGCAGCGTCTTGAGCGGCGCCGAGTTGGCGGCCGGCGCACGAACGGTGAGATTGCGAAAGGAGATGCCGAGACGCTTGGTCGGGCCACCGGTGGGTGTCCTAGGATCGAGGATGCCCTGGCGCAGAAAATCCGGAAGGTCAAAGTCGGTCTCGTCTCCGTCGTCTTCGGGGCAGCGTGTCGAGTCGCTGTTGCGGTCCGCGCTGTGGTTGGTCGTGGTTCTCCGGGAACGGTGTGTAAGCTCGCGGTTGAGATCGTGATATTCAGACATGGCAGCCGACACGGAGACATCGCCCGGGGCATGCTCGCCCCAAGTGCCGTCAGAGACCCGGCGTTTGTCGTCCATATTGGAGACTGAGAGACGCATTGCAGTGAGTTGTGTCTTGTCAAGCAAGCTACCCCCCCCAAAAAAAAGTTGCTTCGGCGGCAAGCCTTTCTATAAGTCTAAAGATCGACGTCACGTCGATGATGGCACAAATCGATATGGTGGGAATCTTAAATCCGCCGCTATCTCTGCCAAGTACCCTATTTTTTCTAAGCCTCTGGTGAGTAATGCGTCTGTACGACAAGATGCCATGCCTCGGAGAAACCCCACCACGAGGAGAGCCATGTGGACTTTAGCTTCACAGTCCGACGGCCATTGTGCACTCGAAACTGTGCAGATTCGGGTAGTAAAACTGCCCAACATCGCATCAACACGACAGTGCGCACAGTGACCCCACGCGGAATGTGAATTCCCCCCCTCTGGATTAGAAACAAGGGTCCACGCTACGGCAACTGGATGCGGGATAACGCAGACCAGATCCGGGTCAGGTCAGCACAACGCCCCGGAGATAAAGGCCCCCCCTCCCATGACGCTGAGGGAGAGCGGTGGGCGGCGACAGCGTCATGCAGGGCCCGTTTTTCATAGATCGCTGCAGAGGAAGTGATTCGACAGAGCCCAAGATCGTCACAGGGGGGCAACGCTTTTCTGCCCTGGATCTGGCGCTCAACAGCCCCTAGCTGGTCTTAAGTCCGGACTTCGCTGAGCGGTCCTGACTCACTCCGGTGTGAAAATGTGAAAATGCCAGCACAACGTCACAGCAGAGAGTCGTCCCTTTTGGACCGGAAAAGGGGTCTCAACAGCTTCAGCTCCTGCTGGAATCAAATCAGAAACACGCCCGCACGGGCATACCACACACCACAGTGCGATCAATACAAGCATAGCAGTCAGCCATGCGCTCGCAAAAGGATGAATTCTGCCTCTCTGATCCTGGGGAGAGGGGCCAGTACGTACCACATGTACCTGAGGCACCATCCCGGCCGGTCCTAAAGGGACGAATACGCGGGACGGGTCCAGGGTCGATTGGTAAGGTGGTCAATTATTAATCGTCTTGAGGGCGGGAAACGCACGCCGCGTACTGGAGACTGGTATCGAGACCTCATCCTCTTGACATGTGTCAGCGCCAAACGAACGAAGTTGCGTTGTGATCCCGCTCGCCGTTGGCCTGCGAAGCTCTCGTTTGTCAAAAAGAATGGCGTGCCCCCGAAATCATGTGCCGTGGATTCGTCTGCTTGTCATCTCCGAGGCATTTTCTTGACAGGACGCCCTCCTGTCTGTCACGCACGTACGCAAGCAACATGAAGCTGACGGACCGCATCTGGAGTCAACACGATGACTGGACGCGTGGTGCCAGCTGCTCCTCTTTGGCGGTTGCACAACGAGAACCGGAACGGGCCCGACTGGTGATATGGTAATGAAATTGAGAATATGCAATGTACTCTATCAGCACATGTTCAAACCTCCAACGCCGGATCCCAATGCACAGATTTCCTCTGCTGACCACGACCCAACTCCTGATTGCCCCTTGCCGCCGTTATATCTCCCAAAGCCGGTCGATGACCCAGTGCCTGCCGCCTCGGTGAATTCCCTTGCCCCAGTCCCGGTCCCAGACCCGTTTCCTTGTCCCGTGCCGTGAACATGTCTTCGACTCGCCATTCCCACCTGCACCGCTCGACTACGTCCCCTGACCGCCGCAACTTCGAGCGCCAGCCCTCAACGAATAGGAATGCGAGGCGCGCGTCGCTACCCGTCTGAGGCGGCGGGCCTTCGGGCGATGCGCTCTGCCTCGAAATTGTTTGCTTGCCTTTTCGACGCAGAATCTTGGCATTGGTGGCTGTCGCGTGGTCACCGACCCGCGCCCCGCCCGAGCGTGGTCAATAACCTGACCCCTCGTAGCTGCTACGCGCGTTCCGGAGCAGCCCGCTCCTTTCGTCGCGGTCCTCGGCCCGCTCGTTGAACAGGCCCATCTGCCGCTTGTAGCCCATCAGACCATTGTCATCTGGCAGATCCGACAGAGGCCGCGCCGTCCTGACCGGCGGCCACACACCGGAGCCTGGTCGTGATTTGATCGGGCTCCCGGTCTCTGAGGCAGACGTGCCAGACGGATGTGGCGCATCTGACCCGGGCTTCTCAAAGACGCTGCGCATCTTGTGGAAGAGGCTGCCCGGCGAGCCCGTATTGTTCCCGCCGGGTGCGACGCTCGACATGGAGTTGCGTTGCGGTGACTGGTGGGCTACCGGTGGGACGTAGGTTTGCCGAGGGAACTTTGCGCCAGCATCGCGAAACGGGTCGTAGTCATCCATTGCGCTCGAGTCGTTACGTGCTCGTCGGGGCCACGAGTCGCGTATCGTAGGCTCATACCGGTCAGCATGCAGGGCCGAGTGCACGGGCGACGAGGCCGCCGTGTCGAGCGTGCTCTGACTGCGCAGCGAAACTGGCACAGAGTCATGCCGCGCATGCCATGGCACATTCGTGACGTCCTTTGGCATGAACGCTTCAGGGTCAAACTCTGGCGGCGTCCGAGGGCGGTCGGGGTTGTGCTTGCTGTACGCGAGACCCCGCGTGGGACTGGATGATTGCGAGTAACGCAGGGCGAGAGGACTGGGTTCGGCATCGCGCATCTCTGATCTGGGCAGTAAAAGAGGTGTCGGTTGCACCGCCCGCGGCGTCATTTCTGATGACTTGGGACCAGAGTTGGGCTCGTCAACGACACGAATGGTCTGTTCCCTGACGAAGCCGTCGAACCGCTCTGTTGGGCTGGTGACAGACCTCTTCATCGCTGCCACCTCTGCCTCAGCCTCGACTTCAGAGTCGAATTCACTGGCATCCGTGCTGTAGGCACCGTCTTCGAACACTGTTTCCTGGCCACGAATGTCCGTTAGAACCGTTGAGTTGGCGGGGTTCATGTCGCTTGACGTGGGGAGATGGGTGCGGAAGTAACGGTGTCTCTCGGACTCTTCGTCTTCGGGAAGCTGCCAATTTGTCGACTTTTCCCGAGGCTTCTCGTAGGAGGATTCGCCACGATCATCTGCCTGATACAGATCCAGTGAACTCGGCTGCTCCGAGCTCTCGCGCGAATCGTAGCCATCGACGGAAGCTGGCTCGGCAGCTCGACTGGACGAAGGGAGATCATGGTTCGACCTCATTGGGCTCATTGATGGCAAATCATACGTCGACTTGGTCGGGCTCTTCGAGGGAAGATCGTAGCTAGATTTGGTAGGGCTCATTGAAGGAAGGTCGTACGTCCGTTTGGCTGGTTCAGACCGCAGTCTGGTAGATTCGAGGTGAAATTCATCCTCATCGTCACTCAGTTCCAGTCCGGCTGCAGCCATGTCGTCTGACTCGTGCTCAACGTGAGCGGCATCCCACGGCGTCTTCGTTGAGGAGAACCGGGACTCGCCGTCGACGGAGGCGTCGGGGGAGGCGTCCCAATCGTCGTAAGCCACGGCGGGGTCTTCGGCGACCGCATAATTTCTTGTCTTGAGAGGCATGGGGACGAGGTTGTCGGTCTCAGCCGGGGCAGCCGTGTTCTTGATCTGGCCCGCTGCGATTGCGGGCGTAAGTTCATCCACGTCGTCACGAAAACTCTTGATAGTCGTATCTTCAATGTACTCAGGGGCGACTGGGCTAACCGGCCTGTCTTGTTGCTGCACTTGCTCATGTCCAGTCTCGGGACCCATGACGGCGTCGAGATGCGACTTCTCCGAGACCCGAGTGGGCGACCGAGACCGCGTGTTGTAATAGTCGGGAATGCTGGTCTTGTCAACTGCGGAATCCGCCGGCGACAGGTCGCGCGTGGAAAAGGCTTCTTCGTCGTCGGGTTGCGCCGAGCCGGCATCCAACGACGACGAGACTGAACGTTCGGCCGATCTAAGTTCGACAGAAGCATCCTGTGGCTTGATGGTGGATAGCAGCTCCTCGACCTTTGACTCCTCATCGTCGTAGTCCAAATCCCTAATGAAGGGCTCCACTGACGGGGTCGTTGCTGTTTGAGGGGCCGGAGATCTCGTCGTGGCTTCGATGGGTTCCGGCGTCTCTTCTGGGAGGGCATATGACCTCTGCTGTTCATATTTGGCATCAGCTTCGAAATCGTCCGCCTCGTCATCTGAGGAGTCATAGTCCCGTTCAATGCTCGGGATGGGCGTATCGGGGTCAGCAAGGGGCGAGGACGGCTCGTTGATTGCGCGAGATGACTCCTCATGGCTTTCTTCAACCGGTATGCTCCGCTCGTTGCCCAGAATCGGGGGTTGCCGATCGGCCGACTGATCGGCCTCGCCATGTAAGCTGGACACTTTTGCTATGCCAGGACTTTCTCCGCTGTGAAGGTCTGCTTCGTCGTCCAAGGCGGTATCTTCTGGAATCCCAAAAAAAGACTCCTCTTCGGGGGAGCTGGAGTTCGGTTCGCTACCGACACTCCTCTCATATGTACTGCTGCCGGCAACGTTGTTGTCTGGCGTATGGGAATCTTTCATGGATTGTCCCACGTTGGATGCTGCCGAAGAGATGACAACTTCCGGCTCAGAAATCCTTTCAGAGCTGTCGGATGCTGCGGACTCTGAGACTTGGTTCAGAACAGTAGGCCCAACAGCTACGGACGAAGCGTCACCAAATGACCTTGTCAGATCAACATTGTCATCCGTCACAACTTTGTCCACGATTGAGTCGGCCTGTGCCGCAACCTCAATATGTCCCGGTGCTTCCTGGACCTGGGGTGCGTCCATGGACTTAGTGGTCAGATCGGAAGTGGTGGCCTGCGCGTCCTTAGACTCGACAGCAGCATCTGCCTCACTGGACTCCGACTCCTCCAGCTCAGTCTCCGGCCTCGTAGCGCTCAGCTGTGTGGGATTCAGTAGCTCGTCCTGGTCATTCACGGCGAAAACCGGAGACCCAGAACGTCGACCAGCATCCTCTGTCGCCAGGATGTCATCCTCAACCGGTTCGACCGACTTCGTTGAAAGTGCTAGTTGCGCCTCCGATTCTTCATCGGCTACGGCTGAACCCGACGCGGATTCCGGCTTGGGCGCCTCGATTGGCTTTTCGGATTCTTCAAGAACTTCGTCTGCCTCGACAGTTCTAACCTGTTCTTCAGATGGGTTGCTGCCGATTGTCTTCTCTGCAGACACTGCTTCCGGCGCCTCTTCGACATTGGAGGGCTTTTCTGCAGACACTTCATCCGCATCTTCAAGCTTATCGTCTTGGAGAGGCACTTCCGTCGTTGTCGCAGGAGAAGATGTGTCCATGTCAGCGTGCTCGGATGCCTTCTGGTCGGAAGCGTCATGCTGGGGTGTGCGCTTGTCGTCTTCCGTTCCGATGCTGTCGTGAGCTGCTGGTAAGACCCCGTCTATATCATCATTCACCTCGACAATGGGCGCGGGTCTGTCATCGACAGCGAGTGGGCTAGTTATCTTGTCCTCTTCGTCGCTGTCGGCAGCTGTTGAAGACGTGTCCTTCTCTTGGGCTGTGCCGGGCTCTTCGGAAGCTGAGATCTCATCATTGGCGACTGTAGTGGGCTCCCCATTTGCCACGACCGGAACTGAAGACGTTGCATCTCGGTCGATCTCAGCGTCCTCTTCGGCACCTGAGTTGACAGACGCTTCCCTCTCTGCGGCATTGTCGTTGACGAATGCAGCAGACTCGGACTTGGACACCTCTTCAGGCGTGGGAACGTCTTCGTCGTTGGCGAGGACGCTTGTTTCACGCTCAGTTGTCGGCTCAATGTCAACCTCGTCACGGGTCTCAGGCTCTGGCGAACGAGTGTGGTAGTAGTCGGCAGCTGGCACTGACTGTTCTGTGGGCTCGTCCGAGCTTTGATCTCTGTTGCTGGCGTCCTCGGCCTTCTCCGCACACTCCAGATCTCGGGCAGGGTCATCGGCTGGCAGTGCATCGTCAACAGACTCGGCATCCGATGCATCATTCGTCATGGTGTCTTCCGAGCGATCGGCGTTCGTGACCGCAGCTGGGGAGACGCTCCGTTCTTGAACGACATCCTCTACGTCGGAGGTTTTGGTAGGATCAGCGTTGAGCTCGCTGGCGTCGGCATCTTGGGCTTTTGCTGGTTCAGGTTCGGGGATCTCGGTCAACACAGTCTCGTTACTGGATTGGTCATCCCCTGTGGCTGGAGTCTCTTCAGCGTTTTCTCCCGCTGCGGCGGGAGTGTTGGTACTGTCTGCGGACAATACATCAATCGATTGGTCTTTGGTTTCTTCGTGCGTCTCGGAGTCCTCAGTGGACACCACGTCGTTTGTCTCGACAGTCTCTTTGGGTTCCGCCTCATCCTCGGGGTTCTCTTCTGCTTTTCCGGCGACAGGCTCGTCCTCCTCGGCAGCATCTGCCGCCACATCCACACCTCGGGCGGCAGGTTCAGTGTCCTCGCCACCTCGCTCCGCGACCGCCTCTTCAGAGGCCGGCGCCGCAGCGTCTTCATGGGCCTTCACATCGTTACCACTGTCGTCTCCGGCCGGGCTAGGAAAGGAAACCTCATCCTTACTGGTAGTGGAGTCGTCCGCAAGCGACACGTCCTTGTCGGAGGTATCATCATCCTTCAGGGCGTCGGCATTGGGGGCAGCTTCGATGGCAAGAAGGCCGTTGGTGGGTGCAGCGGATTTAGCCGCCACAGCGGGAGCATCGTCAACGGAAGGGTCGTCCTTCGTGTCCGGATCCGCCGCCGGCGCGGCATCGACGGGGACATCAGCCGCGGCGTCGGTGTCGACAGGAATGTCGGCGGGGGCATCGGCGGTCTTCGCCCTCGTGCGTTTGCGTGGCACAAATGTGGGTATCGGGTTGCTCATCCGCTCATCGATCAAACGGTTGATTTCCTAATTCGTCACGTTAGCGACCGCTCACACAACGACAAACGACCGAAGCCACAAGGCGTTGGCAGCAGCGAGCTTACCTTTCGCTTCTCCTCCAGCTCAGTGAGCCTGGCCTGTCCCTCCTGCAGGAGCTTCTGCACCTCGGCCTCAACGGCATCGATGCCTTCGTCGGCCTCTTCTTCGACGAGATCGGTTTCCCGTGCGAGTCTGTCCCTTCGCTCGGCATCCTGAGCATCCTTTTGCGCAAGAAACTCGTCATCTTCCTGCTTCCGGCGAGCTTCTCGCTCTTCGTCCTCTCGCCTTCGGGTCTCGGTGATTTCTTCTTCTTCTTTGGCTCGCTGGGCCGTAAGCTCCTCGAGCTCGGCTTCGTATTCGGAGAGGAGGGCATCGAGAAGTGCGTCTCGCTTCTCTTCTAGCTCGTCCAGCTTCGCATCGTGTTCTTTTGTGGAAAGTCCGGCGATTGTGGTGTGGATGGCGGCCAAGTTCTCGGTCATTTGGGCTACGAGGGCCTCGACATCCATGGTGGTGGCCATGTCGGCAACTTTCAGCTTTCCCTGGAGGGGGGGGGAAACGATGAGAGATGGGACCAAAAGTGTAGAGAAGGAATGGGGTAAAAAAAAAATCAAGATGCAATTGAAACGCAATCACGCCGGGGCGCCTGTCGCTAGTGGTCCTCCCAAAAGAGGAAATCAAAGGAAAAATGCTGCAGCTGTTTCGTGAGACGTCGTAGCGTCGTGGACACGTCAATGCCAGAGGTGGATTCACAGGCGAGAGAGCGAGAGGGTTAGGAATGGGCAGGGCAATGCTGTTCGAAAGAGCTGATGAAAAATCAAAAAGCGAATTGGTATCAGACGAAACACCAGAGGTAGGGGATATGACACCGGGGGTGTTCGTGCCTGGTTCCGTCCGATCTATATATCGTGTCAGCCAAGCAGCAACGCCTGGACCTGGTGCTGCTCGGAGTAAACAGAGTAAAGGAAAAAAAAAAGCAAGACGCGAGAGAGAGGGCAGCCGACGATCCCCGGCCAGGACCCATGTCCGCGGGGGGGCCAGCGCATCCGAACGACTGGTGCTCAGCAGGGTAGGTTCTTGCAGAAAGAGGAATCATTGGCGGTGTCCAGGCTCACCGGCGGGCGAGTCAAATGACGAGATTGATTGTGACGATGGTGGTGCTGTGCAGAGGCCGCTCACGGGCACCGGCGCCCGGGGGGGTCGACGTCAGCGGAGCCCTCTTGGGCCACAAGCCTCGTCTCCGTTCGCCGGGCAACGGGTCGTCGGAGCCCAGTGGCAAGACGGCGGCAGAGGGCAGTGCTTTGTGCAGATTGGTTGTGCTCGATGTGCCTGACGTGGGGAAGCCGCCGCAGCCCATGGCCTGGGAGGGGAGAAGCAACGTGTCGCGGTCGTAGACGGCGAGCGGGGCTCCATTATGCGCTGTTGGGAGACCATTGGTGATCGGGCATCGAGTCAGGACGCATAAAGAACGCGGAGGGCAGAGACTGGACGCCAACCAAGGGCTATGCGAGCGAGGAGGGCGGCAGGATGGGAAGTGGGATGTTGGCGTTTGATGCGGGTTGTGCGACCGGGGTTGTGATGTTTCGGCTGGTGTTGGCTGAACCCAGCCGAAATGACAAACCTCCACTGTTCAAATACATACTGCCGCTCACTCATTCTCATGGCGGAAGCCACAGGCAGCAGCAAGCGGCCAGTGTTCTGTGACGGACAGCCACGACCGGGTGCCCTTTCTCTGCTTGCCAGTCATGCCTGCCTGTTCGCTCATCACTTTTCGCTCTTGTCCAGGGGAGCATCGCACCTTCCCAAGCTTGGACGAACCACTGGGAACCACTGGAACCACACAGCCACCGTCCACTCGTTGCAATCTGCACGCCGGCCGGCGGCAGAACAGCCTACGGACGGCAGGTTTTCACGAGATTGCCCGGGAGATGACCCCGACAGAGTCTGGGGTCGCTTCGGCCCATGCCACCCAGCCTCACCGCCTGACAATCTCGCAGGTCTCAGTGCCGGCCCGGACTTTGAAAGGGTTCCTAGCTGTCTTGACGTCAGAGTCAACGAAGCCAGACAGAGACAGATGTGAACGCATCCTCCATTTCGCACGATGCACGCAGACGCGTACCGTCTACCCTGACGGGCTCGCCAACAGCGACGGAGAGATAAACGAACACCAGTTGTCATCATTCTCGTTAAGTAAGAGCATTCTATACGTATAGCTATAAGTGGGTAAAGAAAGATCCAAAAAATCGGTAGAAGCACAGAATCGTCGTCCCACAGTGAGGGGCGCCCGGAGCCACATCAAATAAACATATCCATCTCCACCTTGGTCTTCGACCGCGCCTCATATTTGCCTCTTGGTGTTGCTTGCAATGGCCGACCTCCTCTTGAAGCTCTCAGCGTAGCTGATGCGGTCATATGTGCCGATGCCGTAGGCCACGAATCCCACGAGCGTCCAGATACCCGTAATAATGAGGCCAATGGGAAAGATCATGATCTGCACGCCAGGCAGCACAAAGGCCACGGTGCCGTTCCGCAGCTCGGCCGTAATGTTGCTGACGGCCTGCTTGGCCGTCGCGAACTCGGACATGACAACTTCGCGAGAGAAGACGCCCGTCAGGAACGCCGCCTCGTTGGAGGAGACGTTGGTGCTGATGCGCTGGCCCGTCGTGTTCGTCGCCGTCAGGGTGAGGACGGGGAGGACGAGCGCCTCGAGTTCAGCCCTGTCACACGTCAAGAGTCAGTGACATTCCACAGCATGAAGCTCTCTCAAAACCCAAACCCCCACGCGTGGCCGGAACGTACATTGTCATCTTCTCCTGCATGTTCGAGGGGTTGATCTGTCCAACAAACATGTACGACTGCAGCAGATCCATGACGTCTGCTCGTTTCGCCCTTCTCTGCTGGCCCACGGCGCCCGAGATTCGGCTGGCCTCGACTGGCGACACGGAGGCGCCGGCAAACGAGAGGCCGACCTCGATGCTCTCGGGCGGGATGCCCTGAAATGGGCCCGACGGCTCCGACACCTTGAACAGGCGCAAATCGGCTTCGAAGACACCAGATGTGGGATCCAATGCGGGAAGGTTGTAGCAGATGCCCGTGCCGGACGGATTCGAGGCGACATTCAGGTGGGCCAGGGCGTCGCGGCACGCCGACGTCGTCTCCTCCTCCCACGCTTCCATGTCCATGGTCCCGTCGGGGTTCAGGGCCACCTGGCTGTCGGGGTTGACCTCCTGTCGCTTCGAGAGATAGCGATCGGCGACGTCGCTGTAGTGCAGTTCGAGGACATCCGAGGCGCGGACTTGAATCACAGGATCCATGGCGAGAGGGCGAATCTCGGCGCAGGCGCCCGCGATGATGGCCGCGCTGGCCAGAGCCTTGTTCCAAAACATGGTGGGTGTGGTTGATGCGCAGTACGAAATCAATACGCTTGCTGTTTCCGTGCTAGGTTCTCTCGTCTTCGTGATCGCAGGTATATGGGTGTGTGGCAAACTGATAACTGATTAAGAAGCGATCCGGCCGGCGGCGAAGAAGTGAAGAAAGAGATCGGTCAAAAGAGCGTTGTGCCGAATCGCACTGGTGTGGCGACGCACTCTCGAACGAGCGAGTGTCTGACGCTCAGCGGTCGTCGTTGTTGATCGTCTCGTCGGTCGTCGACTGTTGTTCGTCTGGTCGATGGGCATGCAAAGAAAGCGATCGTCGGGCTGCCTGCGTCGTCGAGTCGAGAAGAGAAGCGAACAAGAGGGTCCAGCCCGCAGGTGGGAAAGCGATGGCGCTGTTGGTTTGGTGTCCAGCGGATCCAGGCCGTGAAGCGAAAGCAGGAATAGGCAATCGGTAGGAAGATGGGGAAAGACGTGGGTGCGAGGAGATTAAACAACGATGGCCACTGGGTCTGGCCGACAATACGACAGCAGGGGGGCGGGGCCGTTGCTGGGCGTAGCACAACTCTATGTCAGGAGAATTGTGTCATGAAGCATCAGCCCAACAGCCGAGAGGTGGTAGGTGGGATCGATGGGCGGTCGACACAGCAAATGGCGTGACTTGAGGACCCGTGGCAGGGCTGGCGGAACAAAAGATGAAGCAGAATCGGGCGATGCGCAAGGATCGTGTACGTCGTGAGGGCCAGCACGAACAACGCAGAAGAGGTCGAGGAGGGCTGTGGGACGTGACGCTTGCTCACTCGCGGGCTGGCAGAGACATCCAGTGCGGGAAGTGGAGAGAATAGGGTGGAAACTGCATCGCGGCAGATGGACACAACAGGTAAGGCGTGTCTTGGAGGTTCGAGGCCTGGAGGGCGATGCGTCGGTCTGGTCGGATCGTCTGGCGATGTAACGAGCGACGTTCGAGGATGGGTCGATGTTTGGGGCCTTGGGACGGACAAAGCCCTCTCATTGGGGGTCACAAGCGTCCCTGGGAAGCACCCAGGGAGCCACTCAGGGGGCATCCCTCTGCACGCGCAAGCGCTATACCAGGGGCGTGTTTCATCGCTGTGCTCGCACTTGCCCCGCTGCTGCTGTACCGTAACTGCTGTGGCTGCTGTTCTTCTTTGGGCGCCTTGCTTCTGACCGAGCCCACCGAAAGCGAGCGGCGAGTTGACCGAGATCCCCCTTCTTCTCGTGGCTGCCGTACTTGACATCCGAACAACATGCCTGCCAGCCTAACTACCTTAGAAACAACAACTACAATGGCCCCGCCGTGTTAGCTTCACCAGAAACACTCTCGGGCTTCATCAACGGCTGTTCGGCATTTACATTAGGTATCATGACTATCTGTACACACGAAAAGTATTGACAAGAAAAAGTATAGGCAGCCAAGAAAAACTCGACATCCGGCACAGCTAGCTCCCCCACCGTCAGACAAGGACCCTTAGACTGGCCACTATTTACTCCTTTGCAAACACCTGGGTACGTCGAACCACCATATCAATCAGGGTATCATACGACTCGTTGCTCTCCGTAGAGTCAAATGACGTACGCCTGTCCTTGACAAACTTGGGCCACGTATTCGTCAGCACGAGATACTTGATGCTCGTCTCGGCATCGTCAAACACCGTCTCATCGAAGCCGTCTGGGATGTCCCCCCAGTAGTACGCTCCCTCGCCAATCGTCGACCCCGTGTCCGACACGTCGTCAGCGTCTCTGGCCGCTGCTCCAATGATGCCCTTCTCGCTCGACATGGACACGGACTCGGCGCCCTTGGGTGCGGCCCAGTCGTCGAATGGCGTCGCCGTCGGCTTCGGCGACTTTTCGCCGTGGACTGACCGTGCGGCTTGCTCGAAGACGGTTTCGATCCGGCGCAGGTCGCCAGACGAAATGTTAATGCTGAACTCGGCGTCTTTCTGGCTGATGAACTCAGTGTAAATGCGCAGCGCCTGGTTGAACTGCTCGCGGAGACGGTCCTGCTGGTTCGTTGCGCAAGGCTCGATCGACAGGCTCTGGCGGCCGTTCAGTGTGGTGGCCGGAACGTTTTCAGAACGCAGAGACGTCTTCCAGCTGGAAACGCTCGTGAGAAAGGC